ACTAAACAATATGTTCAAAACTAAAAGTGTCGATTTGAGAATTAGCTGAAGTGTAAAACTTGAATTACTTTGAGCAAAAGAGGCACATAATTAATGTCAGAGTAAATTTCCTCTGCTTCAGAAGTTTAGAAGCAGTTACAGCACGTATTTGCTCACTGCAGTCATAAATCTTTCTAGATATTTAAAGCCACAGTCCTCTGTAAACAGATTTCTTTAAAAAATCTGTTGAAACTACCAAAAACAACAATACACTGTCTATAAAAGTCTTATGCATCAATAATGTAGTTTTAAAAACCCTTAAAACCCTGAAAACAAGTATTTTTTACGCAGACATACACAGTTTTATTGTGATACATGTGTTCTGTGTAATTTCACTTATGTGAAGGTAAATATACAACTACAGTCTATCAGGGCGGAAAACACAGAACCCACATATCCCCACCCACTTGGCAAATGTCCAGTGTTATTGTGGAGGCTAACCCCCCCCACAAAGATTTAAAGATTTGACCCCCATTCTACCTCTTAAAGTATTTTTACAAGTTGACCACTCCCCCCCCCCCCCCCCCCCCCCCCCCCACACACACACACACACACACACACAAAAAGTGTGTGCAAAAAGTCCTAGTCAAAGAAAACATTTAAAGCTATTAACCTGGGTAGTTATTTGCTCAGAAAAAACACTTTGACATGAGCATATATGCAAATTAACAGTAACACAATAAAAGGTCAAATAAATTTCTTCTCTTCTCCAATAAGTTACTGATATGATGGATGGCAAGATGAACACCGCTTTGGCTCCCAAACCTCTCCTTAGGGGCACCCCAGCCATTCCACGTGTTTGATTAAGCTGGTGCTGAGATTTAACAATCAGTCAATCAACCAATTAATTAATCACCAAATACATTAATTAGTTCACTGATTGAGTAATTAACTAACTCTATGAGGTATTGATTAGCCAAACATAGTGGCTATTGGTCAAAAATGCATGAGTGTGTTGGATAGTTACTGAAAATGCTGGGGTGACTTTAGGAGAGGCTTTGAAATGACTAAACACTAACATACGTCAACAGACATAATATCACAGGATTACATCAAGATGAAGATCATTTAAACATCATTTTCTTTGACTGCATATATATAGTTGCTAGCCCAGTGTGGCTAATTGACATACAGATGGATCCCATCTTTTCCATTGCGTGCAGCAGTCTGTTCTCTGTGCAGACACTTCATATTACAGTGCTGCCAACACTCACGCATCTGGCGTGACACTCATTCTTTCAAAATCCCATGCTCACGCTGGAAATCTCACGGCAAATCTGTATTATTCCATTATAAACATAAAATTACCTACATTGGGGTAGTTTGCAAACCCTACAGACTATTTACAAGGTCTCAAATTGAAAATCTCACCCCAGCCAGCTGACCAAAGTTGATGGCCCTGATACAAAGAAGTATCCCCGCTGAGGGTCAGTCTAAACCTTTTCAGAAATAAATTGAGCGCTGTAACCATATGTGAGAAAGGGGACATGGGATTCAGCAGCTTGGATCACAAGTCTGTTGTTTTCATCGATTCACTGCATCTGTTTCTTATGGGACCTGATGCTCTTTGGAGATGAACCCTCTTTGAGCTGTTGCCACATTAATACATCAGTGTTCAATAAATGTATCAGAGAGTGCTGGGAATCCTAGACTCCAGCCTTGGCTGCACAGGGACGCGATGAGATGTGTGTGCACACTTGGACACCACAGGCACATTCCAGACACCACTTCACCTACCTGCATGTTTTTGTGGGTAGAAACCAGAAAACCACGTCAATGTGGGGAGACCATTCAAACTCCATACAGCCACCAAGCAGTTTTGGGATTCAGCCCTGGAGGTGTGATGCTACTGTACTATCCTCCTGAGACCCCATCCATTCATTTATGTCCATTGCAGTGGGCGTTTTGTTTTCGCATCTATCTTTTCACTGATGTAAGGAAACATATTTATTCCTGTTGTACACTAAAGAGGACATGCTGTGAAATTAAAAACAAAAATAGATTTGAAAAAAGATGTCTAATTTCCTCCAAAGACATAGAAAATCCCAATGAGCCTAAACCTGAATGACACTTGTTTCCCTTGGGTCTCAGGAGGATATAGCCACGATGCTACTCATTTTTGCGCCTGACGTCACACAAACATAAATACATGGCGCATTCGAAATTGCAATAGATTCTTGATTGACCTGAGCCTCTGTCACACTGGTTGAAATGCACTGTGTTCTTCTACAGGCTTGTTTATGTGATGTTAACATGAGAGGGTCTGGCAGCTCTTCTTCACACCTGCTTTCACATCTGGATCTGCCTAAAAATTGCTTCCAAACTCCTGACACAATCTCCTATGCCAAAAAGCCAGACCACGGACCAATCCAGGATATCTGCTCCACTGATGGCTAAAGTTTTTCTCCATATATCATGTCAGTTTTATTTATTTCCTAAAAATGACTCTCAGGTCTTCTGAGTATCCTATAGGTCTGTCTTAGTCGTTTCTGCTTACTACCACATTTTTCTGCCATGTTCCATACAGTGCTCCCCTGTCAGCTTTAGCTCCCACCAAGGAACTCGATCTGAAGGCTGTACCTAGTTATAATATCCAAGAACCGTAATGAGGAATCCAGCCTTCTCATCTGTAGTTACATCTGTGAAGATTATTATGTGTTATACATAGGGTTGCAAAGGGGCAGAAATTTTCCAGAAACTTTCCATTCCAGGGGAAGTTAAGCGGGCAGTTTTGAAAATATTCCAAGTTGGAAACTTTCCAGGGGAATTAATAGGAATATATGGGAATTAACAGGAACATTCAAAGAATTTTGCAACACTAATAAATGCTTTTTTGTGAAAGCTGATTTTGTATAACATGATTATGTGTTGATGTACAGATCAATAAAAAAAAATGACAAGATTTTTTTTAGATTTGTGAGACATTCACAGGCATACATGCACACAATGCTGGGGTCCATGTTACTGGATGGCCACACAGGTCCACACTTTCTGTATGAATGTGATTCTCGCCTCAGTGTGAGCACATATGGCCTCATGGCTGCGGGCCACTGGTGGGGAACGAGGTTTCTCTCTGGGACACATAAAAGGCAGGCCCTGTGATTCACTCCACTGTGGCTCATTTTATATGAGCTGGACCATCTAGAGTTATACACATTACAGCAGGAGGCACAAGGATACTGGTCCTGATCTCTCACCCCCCCCCCCCGCCTTGGAAAATCCCCTTGGAACATCCCATATAAATACAGCCCAATGCCACTGACCTTCGGCACGCAGTGCTTGGGGGGCCGAGGACTGTAGAGCGTTTGGTAAACAGTGGCATCTCTCTGTCCGAATGTTTCAAATTAAAAGTTGACGAAACAGGTTCCCTGACTTCTGAAGTTTAGCTTGTATGCCAAGGTGATGTGAGGCTCACACATTGTATCTCATTTATTGGGTGCAGGGGTCAGACCAATGGAACAAGATGATGTCACTCTGAAATGTAATGGACTCTAATTCCATGAAACAACATTTCATAGGAAAAACAGTCAGCACAAGGAGAAAGAGCTCACATTCTGGTCACTTACGTTCCCTTCCAGCACTATGGGTGGCAATAAATGTTTCTTAGATGAAGTTTGTCAAATTATTACTTAATATTTTGAAAACATCATTGTAAATCCACTTGGTAAATTCCCTCAACTGGGATTAACCAGAAACCTCAGGTCATCTGCACAGAATATCATCAGGATACCATCAACATTACGCCTACAATAAATCAGTAAAGATTATCAGTGGTAAAACACTTCATACAAGTTAAATTTCTGACATACTGTACATAGATGCAATAAATAAACAAATAGATGCAGACAAACAGTCTAATTGCTGGTTATTTGAAGGTTAATTTAGTAGCATTTCTAGGTAATTTAACTGGAGTTTATATGTCATTCAGTTTAAAAATTAAGTATCCCGGGGGAGCCATGAATTTGCAGCTGTAAACAAAAACTCCTCCTCTGGTTTAAACAAACTCAAGAGCTCAACAGTACTGTTACAGAGAAAGGCAAAGCATGCAGAGAATAATGAATGGAGGTTTCACAACATCATAGACTGAAACAGCACTCTACACCAAAAAGGACACAGAGACAAGTTCTCTTACTGTTGCCTATATGTTGACCCTTACACGAGGAATAGCAGATGATACCTTGCTTTTAGTTCATAAAGCCCAGGTCACATAATTTTCATAGTCGCTACACTTTGTTTCCTCTTGCAGGCCAGAGACATTCAGTTTGGATAACTGGCGGCTTTGAACTGTCCATAGTGTTTATGCATGCGCCCTGCAAATGGACTGGCATCCTCTCCTGCTGTATCCCTGTGCTGCCTGGGATAGGCTCCAGGCCCCCATGTGACCCCAATTAGGAAAAGCGGTTGGAAGAATGATGGATGGAAAAGAGCTGTATAGGTCCCCAGAGGACAGCCTTGCCTCCTCTTCAGGAGGCCTGCCGATTTTACTTGACCGGCTGCTGTTATATAACTAGGCCCACATCTCAGTTTCCCTCTGGGCACACTGACCCATACATACATGTTGATTGTGGGCATCCATGAGCACAAGGCAAAGTTAGGCACAATCAGAAAACAGTGAGAAATTATCTGCGAAATGATTTACAAATCTTCCTTCCTGGTTTACGCTACTCTGCCAAAAGTTTGATTCTTTTTGAAATACAAAGGAAGGCCGCCCTGCTCAGGAGGGTAAAACAGATTTTGGATTTTTATCTTCTGAGAGTTGCTCAAGTTTGAAATCTTTTTAAGAAATGTTTTCTTAGAGAATCAAAGTGTGTTGGACAAAAAACACTTATGGTGCTTCTCTGTAGCAGCACAGAACAGATCTAAGAGGCCTGTAAAGATGTTGGAAAAGCATTGCTGAGCCTGAGATTAGAGTGTGTGGTGTGTGGGGGCTATACTTCCAACCATATATTTTCCATGTGCAGGGTTACAGAGGGCCTGGGGCCTGTTCCAGGAAAAACAGAGCAGAGAGAAGGGGACTGTTACAGCCGGGCATGATGGACGACGATCTAAAACTCAAAGAAACCCAGTGAAATAACACCGGCTAGAAACAGGGTATTCAACAGAGAACAACTAAAGGCTAAAATGAAGAACACAGGTAAGAAGCAAACTCAGGTAACTCTCACAGGAACAAACACAATGACCAGCTAAGAAACAGAGCAAGGGTGAATCTCAATACCAATACTTGTGGTCTACGCAAGACCATTGGCCTGTACTACGAAGCGGGGTTACTGGCTTATAGGGGTAACTTGTCAGATTTAAGGTACCACAGTTTAAATGGACTTCATGGATTCGTTCATGGATTTGTGGATTCGTTCACTTACATTTTGTGCAGACTACCTTCCTCCTACCACAGTCCTCCTACTGTACCTTGCCTTTCAAGAATAAACTTGGGGCTCAATGAATGATGGGATTTGATCTCATTCAGTGATGATGCAACTGATGTATCCTTGATATTTAAGGCAGAGCAAGACCAACATCCAGGGATTTTTGCTGTTCTCTGTACTTGTGTTCTTAGTATAAGAACTGTTGTTCAGAAATGGAAGATAATGTAAAACGAGTACATGGGAACTAGAGATGCGCGGATCAGCTAAAATGTCACCCGAATCCGCGGCTTTAAACAAATCATCCACTCGCCACCCGCCCGCACCTATAATTTTCTCTGATATAGATATCCGCACCCGCTTCTTCGTTTTTAACAGCAGATTCAGTGACTTTAGAGCTAATCTGCGCATCTCTGATAGTAACATAATACGCGTATCGTATAATTTTTTTAATGAACATTTATTCATAAAACAAATTTTGTCTTTGGCCAGATTAACCAACATTTTCTCAATAAAATAAACAGTCTTTAGCCTACTCCATTCAGACTTTAATGGGAATATCACCGTTTCTGTCGCTGCAACACATAAACACACAATGACTGGATAACGGCAAATTTATTAGCCCTATCTATTCAAATAATACAGAATATTACAGCATGCTTTCCAAATAGATAAAAAAAGAGAACAATTAAGAACTTTTTTTCCCAAAAAAAACTCGTAGGCACTTATACAGACGATAGGTAACAGGCGATAGGCACTTCGCTAAACCGCTCCCACACAGCACTTTTCTTTCCTTCCTTTTGTTTTGTTTTTAATTCTCCCTTTTTTAGTCTCTCGGAAGACTCGGATCTGTTTCACCTCCATTTCTGCTTTAAGAAATGGACCCCCCTCCTCCCGCCACGCACATATTTTTTTAAAACGAGAGCGCAAATTAGCGACTGTCTGCCTGATGAAAAATGCATTTAAAACATGTTCGTATTTTACAGAATGTAGTTGATATTTGCATCATTAATGATTGATCTCATCCACCCGCGACCCACCCGCAATTAATTAAAATGTATTTTTTTATTACCCGACCCACCCAACCCGCGGATTATCCGCAGCGCCCACGGATATAACCGCCATCAGCGCATCTCTAATGGGAACACAAGTATGGTCAAGTACAGTACGCATATTGACGTTCAGCCCAAGGGCAGGCATTTAAATACACAGATAACAGCATGAAGAGGCACAGGTGTGGGCTGCTACTAATTACACACAATGGACTAAGAGCTACAGGTGATGACAATTAACAAACACTAACGACACTAGGAATACATGTGAAACAAGACATATGACAGAATAAGAGATAGGCACAGATAACCAGAAACAGAGGTACAAAAACAATATAAGAACGTAATTAACCAGCGGAAAAAAAGAAAACTGTCTAAAAAAGTTGACTGGCCCTTGAACCAACAACAGTAGGGAAGCATCAGCCACACGCACAGTTCATTTAGCCTGGGAAGACAATAGGGACAGAATGCTTGCTAACTAAGGGGAACATAGAATGGGAAGGCCAGCGACACCAGCTGGCCAAACAGAGAAATGACAGACAAGGCTGGGACAAGCCTAGGTGGAATGGAGGCACTCGCAGTCCAGTTCAGTCCCTTTGACTGCCTATATTTAAGGAAAACTCCATAGTATATGTGTGCTTTGGCACACAGGACTGGTGGCATTTCTACCTGATTTATTCACTGGTTGCCATGACTCATGCTTCCCCTTCCTCAGCATTTTGTTTATATGGTCTTAGCCCTGGAGAGTCTAAGCTCTCCCATCCTATAGATGCAGGGGGAAGATCCAAGACAGAAATTCTCCACTTGAGGTTAAAAAAGGCTGACACACATAATAGAGATTGTATGTCTAATTGGGGGCAGGAGCAGGAACTGACACTGTGTTGTTACACACAGTGTCCTCTTCCCCACCTCACTTCTGTCTCCCCTTTGGACAGATAACAGCAGCTGCTGGCTCATGCAGACTTGATCTGCTCCAGCTGCCGTGGACCTGTGCTTTCTAACCCACACACCGTAACTCTCAGCTAGCACAGCTCCATCTGTCACTGCACTGGTGAGACGGTCATCTTTTTGGGAACCATTCTGCTGTTGTCACTGGAGAGAGAGCTTCCCATACGTCCCGTTTGCTTGGCTTAAACATGAGGCAATTGGGTCATCATTGGTATGTGTTTTGTCGCAGTTAAAATGGGTCACGCCCCCAAAACAGCTGGCATCGGCAGCCTCTTCATGGAATTGATTAATATGGACAAAGAAGACTTTGTTTTATTCTCTACTGAGCTCAATGAACTGGGGGCGGGGCCAACTCGCAGTCGACGAATGGGGCAGAGGCGGGAGGTCCGGAGAGTCGGCAGGGCTCCTCCTAGAACTTACGGCACGTAACAGAACTTGAGTCATTTTATGTGAAAACTTTGTCTACTCAATAACAACCACAGTTCATTTGAATAACACTCCAGAACAATGAGTTCTGATCCATTTGCCTTCCACTTGCTGATCAAGTACAGGATCATTTGCGACCTGGAGACTTTTCCAGACACCATAAGGCACCAAATCAGGAAAAACACACTTTGCATGGCATGCTAGTCTATCATGGGGTACACAATATGGGTAATTTAGAGACTAGATTGCCCAACTGCAGGAGGAAACCATGAAGCAAGTAAGACATTCAAATCTTAAGACACACAAAAGGGTTGGGTTAAGAGGCAAAAATTCAGACCACTAAACCACTGTGCGACCCATCTTCCATAAATGATTGAAGAAACTTCAGAATACAACTCATTATTATGCATGGGCTATCTAAAAATATGATTTTTAGGTTTGTATGCATTAAAAAAGCCAGGCAAATTTCTTGAACATCCCTGGATATGCATGTCTCTCATGGTTGCTGTGTTTTATGGAAAGACCACATCTCAGTGCCTTAGGTACAGTGGCAAGCATGAAACTGTCCTAATGTACAACCACTACACAAATGCTCTTTGAAAATGACCAAACCAACAGGTAAAATGATTTCAAGATTCATCAGTCCACTCAAAAAAGGAAAGAAGGTGACAATCAACTGGCAGTTTGGATACAGAGGGATTTCTTAATAAACAGAACTAAGCAGAAGAGGTGAAACCACAAAATAACACTGCAAGGGAGCAGGACTAGGAACAGCGCAAAGTAGCAAACACACAGGAACATAGATACAATGACTAACTAGAGGAAAGTGCGGTGCAAGAACTTAAATGCACACAACAAATTGAGCTAACAAGAGAGCAGGAGTGAGACATGACAACCAATCAACAAGGGCAGAAGGCAACACAGCACAGGTCAAGAAACTGACACTAATGAACACAGAACTAAGGCACTTACAAGACCTGAAACTGAGGAAACACAAGGAAATACTACACTGGGAATATGAACAGGAAAACAATGTACAAAAATCAAACCAAAACAGGACACAAGAAGGGCAAACCTATAACAGGAAACTCAAAAGGAGTTATAAAACACTGGGGAACAGAATTTCCAATATAAAGACAGACTCATTAGCCAGCTTCAAACCCATGACAAGGGGAATGCAATCTTACAGCCACACACTCAACCTACTGAGCCATGCAGCAATCTAGGGCACAAAGTAAACACGCAAGGGTTAGACATGGAGTGTAAAGGCGGGATGGCCAGCAACACCTGCTGGCCAAATGGGGTAAAGACATGAAGGTCTGGGGTGGATGAGTGCTTACCCTGACATCCATTCATCCATCTATCCATTCCCACCCTGATTGATTCTAAGTAGTAAACAGAAACTACATAGATAATTTGTTCATAATCATGTTGATGCCATTTTCACTCATAAACATTAAGGTCGATAATGGTGATGTCAGATCCAGAGGGGAAATATGTCTTTAACAACTGGAATAATGTAATGTCCTTGCATTTTCAGAAATGTCTTTGTCAGAAGGCAATGAAGACCGACTCACTCTGAAAGACAAGTGATCATACATGCTTTGCTTTCTACCAGTTATCTGCACTGTATGCTTTATGAATGGTTCCAGTGTACAGCTGAACATCGTCCCTGGATTTAGGGCCCACATTCGGCATTAGGTTGGAGTCTCTGTCTTTTATGGAAATGGTCGGTGGAAACAGAGGTTTTTACAGCAGTGCCAGATGGCAACCCTAACCAGAGAAGCAGCTTCCAGCCACTGCGTAATAACTGCTGATGAAAGAGTTACCATTATTTTGTGGTGCTGTCACAGCAGACGATGACTCCTCTCTCTGAACATTATATCACCACTGCCATCATCATCATGAGAGAAGGAAGGATGTTTTTAAAGGAACATTAATCGGATTTTCCATCCTGCTTCGTGGGAACACACTGTCCGATGCTTTATTGTTCTGGAGATGTTTATTATAGCTCTGGAGGTTTGGAATGAGTTGTATAATACATCTTTCCCCAAAACCAAGAAGAAGATCACAGCTATGGATCTCACCAGGATGCTATTGAGGAATCTGCAACCTGATTAATCAAGTTGAATAATTGGGATGTGGTCCACTGAGCTCTGGGCCCAGATGTCCACTGCAGAGAT